GGAGCTGAGATGCAGAATTATCTCAAGTCCCATGGCTGCTAAGTGGCAGGTGGCATGATTTAGTCCCAGTCCTGGCTGATCCTAGAGGCCAGGATTTTAACCTCCACTTTGTCCCTTCCTTCTCCCTAACCCACATTTCCTTCCAACTCTAAAATAGAATAAGAGGCACCACAGCCACAGATTCAATGTTATGGGAGAAAGAAACAGAGAACCACTTACTGTGAACCCACGCTAGTGTTTCACATACATTTTTCTCATTTGCTTGACTCCACACCAGCCCTCAGAGGGAAGTATTATACCCATTCTGCTGGTAAGGAAAACTGAGGCTTCCAGGGATTAAGGGGCTTGCCTAAGGCCACACAGCTATTATGTAGACAAGGCTGGACTGGACTCCAGATTCTTGTGATCATCAAACCACACTGCCCTTTGGTAAAGATGGAGAAGAAAGGGGTCCAACTCCTTACATGGGATTACTTGGTCATGTCAGCCCTGGAGCTCATACTTAACAGGTGGCTGCCCTTCCTATTGCCAGACCAGCGATTTAATTAGCCCAGAGCCTTCTTACTTCCCCAGAGTTCAGAAACACTGCCCAGGGTTACAGGCACAGCTAAAACAGGATCTGAATGGCATGTTCGGGAAGCCGTATAATTAAAACTGACTTAGGAGACAAGTACCGTCAGCCTGTTTGGCAGAAATAGAAAGTCACCTAACCAGAAGGTGTATTGCCTATATGGTTGCCAGAGACTGCTTTTTGCTGTTCTGGCACTTTTTAATTACAATAGATACCCTGAGGTCTGTGGTTTGCACTGCCATTTCTAACTACCTTCTGAAGGACCCTGAAGAGCAAACCATTATTATGCGTCTGCCATCTGGGGTTGGGTCTTGATGAGGCGCCAGGTTCCTCTAAGAGGCTGTAGACTGAGGTGAGCCCACTAGCGCCCCCAGGAGGTGGCTGAAGCCTTAACTCTTCCGCTAATCTCAGCCCCGTTCTCTGTTAGGAGGGTCTGAACTGTTTTAGGGAACCCGATCCTTTCCCTCTCCACGTGGTCTTTGTGAGATGGTGGCTCACGACCTCTGCGCACCTGGTCCAGGTGGACGCAAGCAGCGTGCTGGCTTCTTTGGACACAGTGCTTGGTCCAGAGGTAGGCACTTAACCCAAGCAGGACCACATAGAGTTTTTCCTTAAGATTTCATTAAAAGTCCCCCTTACTTTTGGAGCTTAAGCTATTAAAATCTAAACTCAAGTGCACTAATGGCCATCTTCCTGCCATGTGAAGCAAACCTATCCCAGGGAAAAAAAAAGTCCAATGTTCAGAGAAAAGCTGCGAAGAGGTGCGATATGGAGAGAGTGAGTCCTTATGACTTCTTTTGCATCTCTAATCCAGCCCTGACACTACGATTTGCCCTTGGACTTCCCAGTTAATGAGCCCATAAGTTCTTTCTTGTTGGATGGAATTGAGTTTCTTCCAGGAACCCTATATAATACGTATCTGAGATCAACATACCCAAATATAAAACCCCAACTACTCCCCCAGCAAACCTGCCTTCCTCCAGCCTCCCCTGCCTTCCAGAACCTCATCACTGCTTATTCAGTTACAGCCATCGGTTCATTGCCATGACCATTGTTCAGTCTCAAATCACCTCATACCTGGATTGCTACAACATCCTCCCTGCCTCCAGGCTTGTGTACCCCATGTCCACAGACACACACATACACACACACACACCTGCCAAAATCTTTCTGGGCCTGACCCTTCCTGCTCTTCTACGGGGTAACTTACCAGGTTGCCAGGCATCTGGCCTCTCCTACATGTAAACCCCACCTGGCAACACTCTCCCATTGCTCCAGCCAGACAACTACCTGGCAGTTTTGACTCTCACCCCTAAGCTAATGAACCTGCCACTTGCGGGGGGGTTCCTAATCCCTCTGTGCCATGGACCCCCTGCTAGTCTTTTGAAGTCTGTAGACCCCATCTCTGAATAATGTCTTTAAATCATAGAGTGGAAAACATAGGATTATAGGGAAATGATATAATTCTTTTTTTAATGTTTATTTGTTTATATATGTATTTATTTTCATTTACTTCATTTTGAGAGAGGATGACAGTGGGGAAGGGGCAGAAAGAAAGGGAGAGAGAGAATCCCAAGCAGGCTCCGCGCAGAGCCCGACGTGGATCTCATTCGCACCAACCATGAGACCATGACCTGAGCCCAAATCAAAGGTCAGACACTTAACTGACTGAGCCACCCAGGTGCCCCTGAAATGATTCTAATGAAACACACTTATCAAAAATTTTAAACCAATTTAAATATGGTAATGTATGTGATTCTTCATTAATGCATTCAATAGAAAGATCTACTGGTTGTGATTTTCAAGCAGTAAAGAATGTAAATAAAATTTCAAGTTATTCACAACAACTGTAATGTGAGGTGAATATATGATTAATATTGACTTCTATTTCTATCGGTGACAAACCCAGGTAAAAGTTAAGATTGTCGTGGTTTGCTGCCTGCATCCATAATGAAAGGAGATAATGGATCGCACGCAGAGGTTAGTAACAAGGGAGATGTAACTCTTTTCTTTCCTAAGTTCAGGGACCCCACAGAATTCCGAACTGGGGGTTTTCCCACCGAGACCCAGGTGGGTGCCAGCTGCCTTGTCCTAACAGGCACAGCCTTGGTCTGAGTCCAGATTATACCTCAAAGCCCAGACTACAGGTCCCTGTGAAGAGCAGCGAGAGGCTCACAGAGCTGGGGACCCGGAAAGCCAGTCTTGGAGTGACATCTGACGAATGACTTCGAGCTGACTTCTTGTTCATGCTTTCTTTGGAGGCAGAATGGCACAGCTGTGAGGAGCTGGGCCTTGAGAGTTAAATTAAAATAACTGCCTGCATTGGAGGAGGGGTGCTTGGTTTTCTCAGACAGTTTTAAGTCTTTAGGGATTAAGGGATCAAACCAACCCCAAGGGTTTCCTCCCCCTTCCCCCAATACCCAGCACTGTGAGGCAGTATGGTGTGGCGGCTAGGGGAAGGATTCTGGTGTAGGCTGTCAGGGTTTGAGTCTCAGCTTCTCAATGCCAGTACCCCCGGGGCAAGTTACCTCGCCGCTTTCAACCTCCTCCAGTCTCATCTAGAGAGAGTAATTTCATCTAGAGATAGTAACAGAGCTCACCTCATGGTTTTCAGAATTGAAAGTTGTACTTGTGTAAAAGGTTTAAAGCAGAGCCTGGCACACGGTCTCAGAAAGGTTAGCTATTCTTCCTGGCAACACCTGGGAACACCTGGCAAACGCTGTCACCTCTCTCAAGTCCCCCAACCCCCCGCTCCCCTGCTCAAACGCCCACCCCGGTAGACAGCCCTCTCCCCTCAAGCACCGTTTCCATCCAGCGCTGAAGAAACATTATAGATAAATACCATTAAGTGGTCAGGAGCGCACACTGTGCGAATTCAAAGGCCAGTGCGTGTAGCTACCAGCTGTAGCTAGAGGGGATCTACCTCACTGCACCCCGGTTTCCTCATCTGGGAACCGGGGGCAACTGCAGCATCCCCCTCAAACGGTTAAGAGGAGTCAACAGCAACAGCAGAAACTACCGAGCGCCAGGCGCTGTGCTTGACGCATAGCGAGCAAGGCAGAGGACGATGAAATGCAATCACGCCTGTGAAGTGTTGAGCACAGTGCCTGCCGGATTACAAACGCTGGGCACTTTGCATGCCACGTGCTTCGAATGAAATATTACATACTAAAAAATGTAAACCTGTTAGATTTTTACAAAGAATATATACACATGTGCACATTACACCTTTTGTTTATGACTTGCACGTTCATTCCCTCAGCTGGCCCTGGAGAAAAGGCAGGGCAGACAGAGATTTTAAGCCATTTTTAGTGATGAAAAGACAGAGGAGTTGATAAACGGGAGACGGCTGGGGATTTTAAAAAGAGAACCGGCGGAGGGCAATGTTCCACTTCAAATCCCTCTGTGCAGAGTGGGCCCCAATTCTGTGGCCCCGGGGTGGGAGAACCGGCTCCGGGGAGGAATCCAGGCCCTGGGCGCCCCAGAGACGCGAGCAAGCGGGACAGGATGGACACGCCCGAGGGCGCACGCTCGCTGGCGCGGAGCTTCGAGCCGGCAGAGGCGCGCACGTCGCGGGCGCGACGCTGGGTGGCGCTGCCGGGCCGCCCCGCGCCAGACCTGTTGAGCCGAGGGCGCAACTCGGGCAGGTTTAGGGCAAAGGGGCGCTCCGCTGTCTTCACACGCCCCTGCGGCCCCGGCCGCAGCACCTCCCTCGGGGTGCCCCACGCCCCACCTTATCTTAAGGCTCCGGTTCATTTGGCCCCTGCGTTCCTCGCCGCAACAGTTCTAGGCTCGTCGGGTGGGGCGGGAATAAAGTTTGTCCGAGCTGGACTGGGAGAGGGGTGGTGGGGAGGACCCTCCCCGCTCCAGACTCCATGGCGGGCAGGACTGTGCCCCCTCGGCTTCAAGGCTGTCCCGGGGGCTCTGCTCTCGGTAGGTGCCAGCCCGCGTGCCTACCGGATGGGCTGACCCGCGCACCGCCCCCTCCCACCCGCTTCCCCATCCCTTCCCCCGCCTCTGGCGCGCACCGGCCCCAGCGTCTCCAGCCCCGCCTGCGCCGGGGTCGCTGCAGTCCCCGCGGCCGCCCCGGGCTCCCTCCCCAGGCGCCCCGGCCTCATTCCAGCCAGGGGAGCGCCTCGGGGGGAGCGCCGGACAGCGAGGGTGGCCGAGGCGGGGGCTCCAGGCGCCCTTGCTCTCCCAACCTGGGAGGCGGCCCCGACTCCGAGAGCCTGAACGCAGGGAAAGGCAAGGACGGGGCGGCCGGCGGAGGGGCGGGTGCCGCTCATCAGCCACGCCAGTCACGTCTGGGGCCACCCGGCTGCCTTTTTCTTCCTTTCCCCCTTCGCCTTCTCCCCCCACTCCCCTGTTGGCGAGGGCAAAGTGGCCGTGGCGGCGCCATGCCCGGGCCGGAGTGAGCGCGAGGGCGAAAATGGCGTACATCCAGGTAGGGCTGAGGCTGGGGGGCAAGGTCCGCGGTGCGGGTGGGGGGTGCCGCGCCCCCTCCGGCTGTGAGCCCGCCAAGGGAGGGCACACGGCTGGGCTCCCACAAACTTGCCTCGAGAAAAAGGGTGCCCGAGGGCACGCAACCTGTGCAGCGGTGGGGTACGCCCCAGGAGAAGGGGCTGGGGACCCCCACACCCGGGGATGAACGGCCCCTGCGGACTCTGCACGGGCGCCCTCTCCTCCTAGGGAGGGAATGGGGTTGGGGCGGACTTTTCAGCCCCCCCACCCCACCCCCTCCCTTTGCACCCCACCCC